CCGTACACCCAGTACTTTGCGGACGCATTCCCCGAACGCCAGCAATACGCCCCGCGGCCGGAACGCCCGAGTCCATCCGGGTCGTCCGACACGGAGGTATACAACCCTTGCGAGCGGGAGGCGGACTACCGATCAAGTTCGGAGGAACGAGAGAGTGTAGGGAGCGAACAGGAGTTCGGCAGTGACGATCCGGACGACGAGGATGAGCCGCCGGCCGCCTACGTCGAGGACGTCACTGACGACGAGGATGATCCCCGGCCCACGTACTCCGAGAGCTCGGATGATCGGGAGGACGACGGGGACGATGACAGCGTCCCACCCGAAGGAGCGCAGCACTACCTGTACACCGGAGAGAACCGGTTTTGGTACCAGCGAGGGTCGTGCGCGTACCTCGTCCATACGACGTACGAGACCATGCAGGTCGAGGTCCCGTGGCGGCCCTCAGAAAGCCCGTATGTGACTTTTCCAGAGTCCCCGGAGCGTCTCTGCATCCTAGGCGTAGACGACAGGGCCGTACCCTCGTTCGCCAGCTCAGGCAACGGCTGCGACATGCCAGGAAACCCGGGCCCGACGATCTCGAAGCCTGCGACACCGACTCGGGATGACGCCCTTCCGCACGACATTGTAATGCAAGACGCTAACCCCAGTACCACGGACTCCTCCAGTCGGCCACACCACCCCACGGGCAAGGCAATGGAGTGGGAGTCGGAGCCCAGCGACGACGAAAAGGACACGGGCCAGCGATTCCGGCGCAGGGATCCGGTCCTGACTCTGGTCCCCTACCAGCCGCTGCCCATACACGCACCACCCGCAGCCATGCCCACTCGATCGCCCGAGGATACCACCTCGAGCGCCGTCCTCGAACCCACCGCAGCCATGCCCACTCGATCGCCCGAGGATACCACCTCGAGCGTCGTCCTCGAACCCACCGCAGCCGCCACACCCCCTGCGATAACCCCGAGGTCCAGCCCCCTCAGTGCCACCCTAGGCATGTCACCCGGTACCATCGGGCAACTGCTGGATCAGATCCCAGCTGGGGTCGAAGAGTTGGTTTGGGCTGCCCCAGAACGCTGGAACCCCGACGGCCTCGTCAGCCCACCTCAGAACGCTACCGACGGACGAGAGAGAAGTCCCGTGCACACCAGCCAGGACCCGCCGGGAGGCGAGCGATATCCGCTTCCGGACGGGTGGGAGTATAACCTACCGGACCGCCGTGTGCCTGCCGTTGTGTGGCGGATCATCTCCGCCAGACTCGCCGCCGCCCAGCACGCCCGCCAACGCCTGCGAGTACGGACTGAGGATGGGTCATATCAGATCACCCTCCGGCCCAGCGGAAGGGGAACCATCTCTTTTGTTCCCCGAAGTAGGGAGGGGATGTAACGCCCCAAATCTGGGGCGCACCATTTTTCTTCACCAACTGCGTGCCGAGAGAGAGCTCGGAGTCACTTTTGCTTTATTATTATTATCATTGTTATTACTAGGTTAAGTTCATTATTATTATTGTTATTATTAGGTTAAGTTCATTTTTTCCCTTGTAAATATTAATCATTATTCATTATAAACTTATAAAACTAATCTAAGCGGTAAATATTATTATTAGTAGTGGAGAAGCGAGCCCCAGAAACCAACTAGGTGCCAACCCCTGAACACTGCGTTAGCCAAGACGCGACCCGCGCAGAGACCCCCCTGAACTTGCTATCGCACTACCCGTGATCGATAGGCCACTCGATAAGCGACCCGGCCGATCGATAAGCGCGACGCGTCGCTTAAGTGCGAGCACTAATTTTTTCACCCGGTCTCTTCCGCTCTCAACGCTCACCGCGACAAGACGTGCGCCAGTCGCCGCATCCTCCGAAGAAACCAACGTGACGCATCTCACCACCGAGTTAGCTCTCGTGCACCCGCGAATCTGTGTTCCGCCGCGCCACCACCACGCCCGATCGTGTGCTGTGACGCGAGCCGCCTCTGCCAAACGCCGGCCACGCGAGTTTGCCATACGCGTTTCCCCCCTTCCCCGCGCGCCAGATCGCGACCACCGCGGCGCCAGGAGTCACGTAAGCACCTTCCTCCCCTTTTTCCCTAGTTGTAAGGGCAGCAGCAAGCCCCGGCAGCCAAAAGAATACTTATAATAAACCAACATAAAACCCAAAGTGGAACGTAATTATTTTTTTTTTCGAAGTTTGTGGTATCCTTTCTCCTCACCCTTTCCCCCCACCTCACACTCACAAGACGAAGCTTCGGCCGAGATTTTCTCCTTCTCCTTCCCCCTGCATGCTCCAACTAAAGTTGATCTCCCGTAGACTCCGAGTCCATCCGGAGTAGTAGACCTTACGTAGACTCCGAGTCCATCCGGAGTAGTAGATTTCCATAGACTCCGAGTCCATCCGGAGTAGTACACTTTACGTAGACTCCGAGTCCATCCGGAGTAGTAGACTATACGTAGACTCCGAGTCCATCCGGAGTAGTAGATTTCCGTAGACTCCGAGTCCATCCGGAGTAGTAGACTTTACGTAGACTCCGAGTCCATCCGGAGTAGTAGTAGTAGTAGCCTCCCCGCTTCCCCCCTCAGCCCCGATTCCGCTACTGTGTGTCGCTGCGACGACCCGCACACATTCTCGTTAGAAAGCGCCACTTATTGGTCCGAGCCCCCTCACGACCAACACGCGTTTTCGGCCTACAACGCCACCTATTGGTTCGAGCCCCCTCACGACCAACACGCGTTTTCGGCCTACAACGCCACCGATTGGTCCGAGCCTTCTCACGACCAACACGCGTTTCGGTCGACAACACCACCTAGCGGCGTGAGTTGCTAACTCACGATCGGCGTGACACCCGTCAGAGGGCGCTACTCTCCGAATTTCCGGACGATCACCGTTCCCACCCCAACCGAATCTCACCTCTGCGGTGTGATCGGCCCTGACCGGCAGACGGCGCTACCTGCGTTCACCCACCAGGGGGCGCCAGCGACAATTTTTCGAAGTTTTGCCAGCCTCAAGCCTCATTCGAAGCCTCATCCGTTCGCCCGACAGGTGGTGCTGGAGGCCCACCTTTTCACTGTCGGCTATACGGATGAGACAGTACAGTGGCTCTTGGCATTAAACCACGTGGTCCTACGCCCGGATACGCAGCCTGCGACATCTTTCTCACGTTTCTACGTATGGTGCGCCTCCTTCGTCGGTATTCTGCCACCCCCATACTATTCCTACTACAGGTCCCATCCCTCTATATAAATTTTCTTGTATAGGTTCCTTGGCCCCGACTGAGATTTTATCCCGGCCAGAGAACTTCGTGACAAATTTAATTTGTTGGAATACAAAGAGGCAGAATTCTGTAGCAGCTTCATCCACTGAAGCAGAATACATGGCCTTGTTTTATTTTTTTTACTCATATCTTATGATTATCTTTAGAAATAAAATAACAAAATTTAAACATAAACATTACCATTTAATTTTTATAATATAACTTAATGCCTGCTTTTTTTTTTATTATAGTAAGGTGATTTTTTCTTTTATAGCCAACAATATATTTTATAAACATAATAAAAACAAGAAAGGAAGCTAACTTCGGCACGCCGAAGTTTGTAAACCTTTGCAGATTGCAATTGGATTATTAAGAATCAAGCCATTCCGGTTAAATAATTAAAAAAAAATATATATTGTAAGGAAGCGTCTGAGCGGCCGGGGTGATCCTCAGCGGCCCAGAGTCCCCTCACAAAATTTATAATTTGTGAGACACCTAGAACGGAGAAGCGCCGATACTTTTCTGGCCAGCTAGCGGGGTAAATGGGGAAGAAAATATTTGCACGTGATTATTGGGCCAGGGGAAACTGGGCGACCCGGAATAATCCAGCGGTCAAGCCCGCGTCCGCGCCCGGAATTATCCAGCGGCGGGACGAGCGGCCCGGAATTATCCAGCGGTCACGCCCACGCCCACGCTCGGAGTGATCCAGCAGCGGGGCGCCTTCGGGGCAGGACAAAGGCTCGGAGGAATCCAGCAGCCAAGGCCTGTGTCCACGCTCGGAAGAATCCAGCAGCGGGACCACTGACTCGGAGAAAATCCAGCAGCCAGCCCCGAATCCTCGCCCGGAAGAATCCAGCGGCAGGATTGCTCAGAGGGCTGGAATAATCCAGCAGCCACGCCCACGCCCACGCTCGGAAAGATCCAGCAGCGCGGCGTCCGTTGGGACAGGACAAAGGCTCGGAGAGATCCAGCAGCCGATGCCTGCGTCCACGCTCGGAAGAATCCAGCTCTTGTTCCCGTCCGGCTTTCGCCCGCACCCGGAATTACTCCGATGCTACGGGGAAAGCGGGAGGGGAATTGGTCACTGCCGGCGAGGGGCGCCGGCCCGCGAACGAAGACAGGGAAAACGCACAATTTGGTTTAAGCACATGTTTTCTAATTAGGTAATATATTTAGAAAAATAACTTCTGGCGTCGGGTGTGGGATAAATTCCCCAATATATATAGACTTAATGGCCGGCGGCCATGCTCACCCTGGCGGGATGTCCTTCGAGGTCCTGCAGGATAATTTGGTCTCGACGCGGACACGCGGTTTTGGCACTTATACTTTTCACTTGCGGAGCGACACGACTTTCGCGATCAAGAATTTTTCGAGGATTAAATTGACCTAATTTCCGCAGTGTGGCCGTGGCCTAATTCCTGCCGGCAGCGCTGCCGCGATCGATCTTGGCGTTGCCAGATGCTGATACTATCGCCGACAGCGTTGCCACTTGCGCGCGTAACTTCAAAGCTTAGTGCTTGTGGTGAACTTCCCTCGGGGTTTATTTGGCTTCATGCCGTTGGCTCCATGCTGGGTGATGTGTGCGTGTGTGTGTGTATGGCTTCGTGCCGGGTGGTGTGTGTGTGTGTGCTTAATTCTAGTCTTAATTTTAGGTATTTTTACATTAGTAGTTTACATAAGTAGTTTTAAGCTTAAATTGAAGGGTATTATTTACATATATATAAGGTTGTGGCGACCAGTCGTGTCGTCACACTCCCTCCTTACTTCCGGGTGGGGTGTAGGAAGACCCGGACGTGGTCGTCCCGGTTCAGCTGCACCCGGAATCGCTGACCCTGTTCCTCCTCCAGATAGCGTCGGGCCCTTCGGCTGGCTATTAGAAGTCGCTGCTGGATCCGACTGATGAGCCCGACGGGTAGCGTGCCGTTGGGCGTGCTCCAGCCGTCGGGAACGGGTAGCCAGCGGGTGTGACCTTGGCGATCGCGGGGCAACTCTTCCTCGGACGAGGATTCGCTGGGACTATCCGCCCAGGGCGCGCTCCGTCGGCGGCCTCGGCGTGCCGGTGGTGGTGTGGGTGGTCGGTCCCTGGCCGAACGGGGCTCCGGATTGACTGGTCGGACCGGCCCGGCGGAGGACGAGCCCAGCTCGTCGCTCAGGTCCTCAGCCCTGCGTCGAGCCACTGCAGCGGCGTATTCGCCGGGTGTTGGTAGCGGGGGGCGGCTTGGTACGGCCACGACTGGCCTCTCGTCGGCGGAGTCCTCGTCGGTCGTTAAGTCAAAGTGTTGGCTTGTCGATGGCCCATCCACCTGGCGAGGGGCGACGGCGGCGTGGTATCCGCGTGACGTGGTCGGCGGTGACTGGCTCGGTGACGAGGCCGCGCAGGTGGTTATCGGGCAGCGGGTGGCGTATGGACCCGGCCCGAAAATGTCTTCATACGCCGGCGGCGGGGTGCTCGGCGGTCTAAAATTTGGCTCGGCGTCGTCGGAGTCGGAGATCTGGATGATCTCATCCGCCTCTCGTGGCTCGTCGACGGATTGGTTGGAGACGGGGCGCATTGGGAGCTCTACTCCGTCCTCGTCGGAACACTCCCCGAAAAGGTCCTCCAGATCCAACCCTTCTGCCCCGTGGGCCATCTCCTCCAGCACGTCGGGTGGAAGGTCGCCTAGGCACTCTCGTAGCGCCGCTTCCACCTCGCCGTCTGGATCTGGTGCCGCTGCAGCCCCTGACGGGACCAGCGGTGCTATGGCCTGGACTGCGCGTGTCCCAGGCGTTGTTGGAGTCGGGCCGGTGCGTGAGCGTGCCGAAGTGATGGCCGCTCGCGGCGCCGCCCTTGATGATGGGGTTTCGTGTCCGGTAGTTGTCGTGGCGACCCGGCCGGTGTGCGGGCGCGTCGATGGGCCGGCTGCTCGCGGTGCTTCCCGTGGTGGCTGCCCCTGATTGCCGGCAGGCGTCGTGGACACCCGACCGGTGTGTGGGCGCGTCGATGAGCCGACTGCCCGAGGTGCTGCCCGTGGTGATGGCTTCCCTCCTGTAGCCTGCTTTTGGGTGGCCTGAGTCGCTGGAGGCTGGGTTGTGGCCGCGCGCAGCGGGACCAAATCCGGCCCCTGATCCGCGAGTGGCTGCTTGCCCTGGTCGGCAGGCGTGTGAGCGGCCTCGGTTGGCCGTGGTCGTGGTGGGGTGGTGTCCACCCGTATTGGGCCGAATCGGTGATCCGGCGGGACGTCTAGCTGCTCCGCGGACGGGATTTGTCTGCGGCCTCCGGCCACACTGAGTGGCGCGAGGAGTGAAGGTCGGGGCCGATGCCCCATCTGGAGACCATCCAGCAGCTCCTCAAGGGCGAGCCCCATCCAGGCGTCGTCCCTGGGTGATGAAATGGTGCGAGATCGTTGGTCCGGGTTGGTGGCGATGCGGCCGTGCTCGGGATCGTGGGCGAGATGCGAAGCGCGTGTGTTCAGCGCTGCCGTGCGCTGGATCCTCGAGGATGCGGGCGTGTGCTCGCTGGCGGTTGCCTGTGGGCGGTGGGTCGCGTCTCTGTTGCTGTTGCTAGCGATGTTGCTCTGCCGCAGTCTGGTGCACCGTGTGCGTTTGTGCTGCGTGGTGATCGATGTGTCTGTGGAGAGAAAAGAGCAAAAGAGACGGCGTTGTTAGGGGGAGCTTTCGAAGGACCCTACCCAACAGAGAGTTGCTCGATTTCTAAGTTTTTTGCGAAAGAGAGGGCCCATGTTTCCCCCCTAGGGGGGTAGGAGCGTTGGACAGGCGCGCCTGTCAGCAAGTGGCCCCTCTGAACATGGCCATCTTTCGATCTGGGCGTGGCTTAGTGGCGGCGGCGTGGAGTGGGGCGGTTTTCCCCAGGGCTCGTGTCGGTGGCGTCTGGCTGCTTTGGGCTGTGCGTGTCCTCGGCGTGGTCTTCCTCGTAGTCGCTGTCATCGATCGCGCCTTCGACGTGGTCATCTGCTTCTCCCTGTCGGTAGGGTTTCAGCTGTCCCAAACTCGCAGTACGGCGTCGGCGGCTGCCGGGTACATGTAGCTGGACGATGTTTGGTGAAGGGAACTTCGCCACTCGGAAGGGTCCCTCGTATCTCGCGGCCAGTTTGGCGGCGAATCCTTCAGCCGCGTTGGAGAGTGCGTGGCGTCTCACCAGCACCAGAGATCCTACAGGCGGCTTCCAAGTCCGTCGGCGCAGATTGTAGTGTCGGCCCTGATCCGCCGTAGCGCGTTCAGCGTTGTCTCGCACCACTCCGAAGATGTCCTTCAGCTGCTGGCTTCGGTCCGTTGGGGCCACCTCTGGGGTGCTTCGTCCTGGTGTGAGCTCGTCGTAAAGAGTCCGTGGCAGCCTCGGTTCTCGCCCCTGCGTCAGGAAAGGTGGGCTAAATCCTGTTGTGTCGGAGACACTGCTGTTGATGGCCAGGGAGATTTCCGGCAACAACTGGTCCCATGTATTCTGCGGGCCTCCATCCAGGTACTGGGCGATCATCGTCTTGATCGTCCTGTTGGCTCTCTCCGTCGGGTTCTGCCTTGGCGTATACGGCGCCGTGTGCTGCAGCTCCATGCCCAGCGATTTGCAGAAGTTCTGGAAAGACCGACCTGTGAACTGCGTGCCGTTGTCGCAGACGAAGGTCCTCGGCACTCCGAATCTGCTCAGGATCCGTTCCCGAAAGGCGCGTTCAAGCTGTGCTCCAGTGGCTTTCCGCAGTGGCACCAACTCCACCCACTTGCTGAAGGCATCCAGAAACACCAACAGCATGGTGTTGCCTGGCTTCGATCGTGGAAGCGGTCCGACGAAGTCCGCGCAGAGAACCTGGAATGGCTCGTCGACCTAGTGGGTGAACATCATCCCCGCAGGTTTCTCCTGGCTTACCTTGAACTTCTGGCAACTCGTACAATGACGAACATAGCGCGCGACGTCGCGGAATAAACCCGGCCAGTAGTATCGCTGAGCCATGCGATTACTAGTCTTCCGGACTCCCAAGTGTCCGGCGGTTGGGTGGTCATGGCATTCTTCGAGGACGCGTTGGCGGTAATCCGACCCAACGCACAGTTTCCATGGCGTGTACTCCTTCTCTTCAGGCCGGAGACCAATGCGGCGATAGAGTTGTCCGTTCTCCTCCCTGTAGTCGGGGAACTTGGCGGGTTCTGTCCGCATCTTCTGGAGCATCTTCCTGATCCAGCGGCAGTTGACTCCTTGTACCTGTGCTTGCTGCGCGGTAGGCAGCGGTTGGCGAGAAAGGGCGTCGGCCACAAGATTTTGGGCCCCTTTCCGTTAATGGACGTCATACTGGTACTGCTGCAACTCGAGAGCCCAGTGTGCAATCCTGCCCGTCGGGTTATCGATCGAATTCAGCCATTTCAGCGAGTGATGATCCGTCACCACGTCGAAACGGTACCCCTCGAGGTAGCATCGCATCTTCCTGATTGCCCAGACGATGGCGAGGCACTCCTTCTCCGTAACGGAGTAGTTCCTCTCGGCCGGGTTGAGCCGGCGTCTGGCATAAGCGACAACTCTCTCCTGTCCCTCGATAGTCTGCGTCAATACGGCTCCTATTCCGTACTCGCTGGCATCCGTCTGTAGAACGAACTTCTGGCCGAAATCCGGACAGGCCAAGACCGGTGCCTTCGTTAGTAGCTCCTTCAGCTCCTGAAAAGCGTGATCCTGCCTTGATGTCCACTCCCACTTTTGGCCTTTCATCAGCAACGCGTTCATGGGTTCGACCACGTCGGCGAAGTTTGGAACAAAGCGGCGATACCAGGCTGAAATCCCAAGGCACCTCCGGAGTTCCTTTAGGCAAGTTGGTGGCTTCAGCTTGCGGATCGCGGCAACTTTGTCCGGATCTGTATGGATACCCGCCTCGCTGATCACATGTCCCAGGTAGACGATGTGGCGTTGGAAGACGTGGCACTTCCCTCGATTCAGGCGCAAGTTCGCATTGCGCAGGCGTCGGAAGACCTCTTGAAGGTTGGCGACGTGTTCCTCCAGCGTTGAGCCTATGACGATGATATCGTCCAGGTAGGCGAATGCGTGCGGCTCCATGTCAGGCCCGATGACTGTATCCAAAGCGCGCTGGAACGTTGCAGGGGCGGAATGCAGACCGAACGGCATCACCCGCCAGTGGAATAATCCTCTGCCGGGAACGGTGAAAGCCGTACACTCCCGACTGCCCGGGGCTACTGGTATCTGCCAGTATCTGGAGCGGGTAGGCATCGGGAACCGAGTTTTCGTTGAGTTGACGGTAGTCAACACACATGCGTACGTCTCCGTTTTTCTTCGCCGCAATCACAATGGGCGCGCTGTGCGGACTCTTCGAGGGCTCGATCCGCCCGTCTCGAAGAAGCTCGTCGATCTGTTTGTCGATGATGGCCCTCATGGCCGGGTTCCTCGGGAAGTAACGCTGCTTCAGTGGCCGATCGCTGCGCATGATGATGTGGTGCTCCGCTATGTGGGACACCCCTGAAAGATTCTCGAACAAGGCCAACTCCTTCTCCAGGAATTCCTCTACCCAGGGCTCTGGGTAGCTGTGGGTCTCGAGCTCTTCCGCCTCGGCTGAATCTGAATCCCCAGCGAGGTGACTCACCGAGTTAATGTTTCCGCAGAGAGGCGAGTCTTGCGCCGGCGTTTCCTCGACGTGGTCCTGGAAACGGACACGCTTCATGGAGGTGCTAAATGGATTTCGCTGAACGGCGGTGGCATCCGCCACAGGCAAGACATGGCTCCAACTTGGCGGCTGGTTTCCCGTCGTGGACGGGTCTGTGCCCGAGATGACTGCCGACCTCCGGGAGGATGTGCTCTCCTCTCCGGCAGGCGTGGTGCTGGCGGTCTCCCGGTTGGCTTCGAGGGCTGTGCCCCGAGGGCGGGCGCGTGGCGCCGGTTGCGGCGGTGCTCTGACCGTTACTGGTTCCGTGTGGCTGGAGCGTGGCTCCGCCGTCGCTGGCTCCCGGCGGGCAGAGTGTGACTCGGCCGGCGGGCTTCGGGGTTGAGAGCGTGGCTCTCTCGGCTGCGGCGTAGGGCGTGGTCCTCCGTGGGGGTTGGAGTGTGGCTCCTCAAAGTGGACAGAGCGTGGCTCCTCGAAGCGGACAGAGCGTGGCTCTTCCCTCCGGCGTCTTGCGTTGGCTCGTTCTTGAGCCCATGGTGGCTCCGTGTACTGGTCAGGCATCAGGCTGAGGGTCTGTCCCCCGCACTGCATGGTGGCTCCGATCCTGCAAAGAAAATCCATGCCTAGGAGAACGTCGTCAAGGACTTCGCTCATCACTAGCAGAACGGTTGGAGCGCGTTTACTCCCCAGGTGGATATTGGCGGCCAGGGCCCGAGTCAGGTCCCGGCATGTCCCGTCGGCCAACTTGACTTGTGTGCGAATATCTCGCGTGTTGTCCGCGTTGCCTAGCTCTCGGGCTAGGTCCTCGCTGATGAAGCTATGCGTAGCTCCAGTGTCCAGGGTGGCCACGAATCCTCGCCCTTCCATGGTGATGGCGGCGCGAATCCGTCCCTGGTGTTGGTGGAGGGTTCCTCCTACTGGCTGCGTGGGTTGGACGGGTTCCCCGGGTGATTCCCGGTCACTCGAGGCCCGTTCCCGTTTCCCGATGCTGGACGCCGACAGCAATCGATAGTCCGGGTTCCTCTGCGTCCGCAGTCCCAGCAGAAAATGATGCGGGGGTTCCGGCACTCGGCCGAGAAGTGTCCCGGTTGGCCGCAGTTGCGGCAGGCGTCGCGAAGGTTGACTGGCTTCGATGTGAGGCTGGGGCTGCTGGTGGGGCACGGCGCGGCGTCTGCCCGGCTTCCGTCCCATAGTTGAGTCTAGCTTGAGAGAATCCAGCTCGGAGAGAATCCAGCTCGGCGCATCTGCAAGCGAAGATCCACTAAGTATTCCTTGAACGGCTCGTCGGGTCGCTGCAGGTGCGTCCGGATCTCGTCCTCCAGTCGTTGATAGTACCGCGGTGGCAGGAAAAAATCTAGAAATTCACGGCGAACCTCGCCCCAGCTGGCTTGCTGGAGTCCGCTCGTGCGGAACCAACTCTCAGCTCGGCCGGACAGCAGCACCACCAGGGCTTATTTCCGGTCGATCCGGCAGGTATCGGCACGCTCCTCGATGTGCTCAATGAACCCGAGTGGATCCGTCGTTCCGTCGAACGAAAGACCCCACTTCGTCATCCTGTCGATCAGGATGGCTCCCAGGCCGGCGTCGCTAGGGTGATTCACGGATCTCGGAGGTTCTTCCGCCTTCGGGCGTCGCCCTGTGGCCGGCGAAGTACTACGCGGGAGGAAAAGCGAAGGTGGTACCAACGATGCCGACGTGGTCGGTTCTGGTGATATGAGGGCCGGATCCAAAGGTATGGGTGACTTCACTTCGCCCGTGGGTGCGTTCCCGAACCGGCGCTCCAGTTCCTCGAGTCGATCTTGGATTTCCTCGGAATTATCCGTTCGTCGTGAAAATGCGATGAGTCGAGCACGTTGCTCGTCCACGGTGCCGCTTCGATCGAGCCCGAACTCGCCGAGAATGGTTTCCAGCTCCATCTTTTTACGATAGCTAATCCAGGTGACGCCCATCGTTGCGAAGAAAATGATCAGGGATACGGCGACCGAGAATTAATTTGCAATGGCACGGGTCACGGAATCGCTCTACGTAAACAATCGAAATTTAATTATTCTGTTTTATTTTATTTAATTCTTTTATTATTTATTATTTTAGTTATTTTATTTAATTATTCAATTATTTTATTTTATTTTATTTTA